TAATTTCTTCCTTGAAAAGTTCATTACTGCATAACTTAATAGCTCTGTCTATTAAAGCGGTAATTACAGATCTTTCTGTATTTAGAAGATTGTCTGAACTAAAGTTAGGTAGTTATCAATGTTAGTATGTTTACGATTATCTTTAGTTTTATAGTAACTATCAAAGTTAACTATTAAGACATCTAGTAAGGACAGACTTGAGTCATTTTCCTATATAAAGGTTAGCTCCGTGTTTTGAGGGTAGAGGTTATCGAGATGGCTTAGCACTTCATTTTCATTTCCAGTGGGACAGATGGCAAAAATTTCGTCAACATATCTGCCAAAAAGTTTTGGAAACAAGTCAGGGATTATATTCCGTGACATAATTTCGAAATGTTCCATATAATTTTCTGTAAAAATGGCGGGAGGTGTTTCAGTCTAAGTTCGATGATAAATTTATTCCCCGCTTTCTTGCGCCATGCTTCGGCTATAAGAAATCAATGTCTAATTGACGTATCGATTTATGCAAACTCATTCAGTATGACATGTCGCACCAAAAAAGACAAATGCGATGCATGGTCAGACCATGACAAACTGCCAGTCAACAAAACATTCTCGCGTGAAGTGCAGCTGACCCGGCTCTAGCCATGGTTACCAATAAAACACCCAACGGCAAAAAACGATCAACTGAACACCTTGCATTACCTGTAATGCGCCTGCCCTCATCGGATGCGTGACTGCGGGTGTCGGTTAAGCAATAACCAAGATGATCAGGCATTTCTCGGTTCTGCTGCCAACCTCTTCGCTCATTGCATATTTGCCCGGTTTGATTACGATTGAAAATAAGATATAAACGAGGAAAATTATTATTCAAACGCACAAAGATAAAATAAGTATCTAGATCCCAGGAGCAACAGTGCTATCGAGCACTTCTCGAAGCCAGCCTATTCCATTTCTGTTTAATAATGCATACAACAGTAAAATATTTTAGAGATTTCAATGCCATGCACTTTATTCTAACCAACTTTACTTTGACCACTGTTCAGAAAATGAACGTTATGACCCACGAGTTTACGGCACTTCATTCAGAAATGTGAAGTCACACGTCAAACACTGCTCACAACATTGTTTCTTCATGACATAAGCAGTGCCTTACACGTGCTTTTCTTCTTCCTGACTCCTGCCACGGATACTTGATCATAGACCTGTGTCTCAAATCAGGGTACCGGGTGCATCTTTCCAACCGATAAGTTATTCAGCATTTTAATTAACCATATTATGTTCATATAGGAAAAGGGTAAGTTCATACCAGGATGAATCATGACCTAGCAATTTATCTTTGCGTCTATTCAACCAGTTTATGAAAAGAAGATCACACTGCGTAATTAGCTTTTCATAATTACCTTTGAAATGTCACTTTTGCTCAGGCTAACGCCTAATTCCATTTGTTAAATATAAGGGGGAAAAATCTAATCCAGGTGTAGAAATTTTTTAATATCTGTTGCAACACCTATGCATCTCCGTAAATTGTACGTCACTATGGCATGCAATGACTGCAATCGACTTTTCGCTAAGCTTGAAACCCTTTATTTTTGCCTTCAAAAGCTTATGCTATCATCATTCTAACGAGAAGATCCTGCACCTGAAGGAGGCGTGACGCCTGCTGATGTCATTGCTGATTTGGAATAATTGGAGTAACTCACTCAGGAGATTCAGTAGTAGAGCTGCAGACAGCTTCTTTTGATTTAGGTTTTGCAATAGCCGAATAATGTGCCGGGAAACCGCATGTTTGGCATTGCTTATCCATTCCCTTATGTGTGGCAGAAAAAAATTTTGGATTAATTTGCAAAATGGAAATGCAATTACTGATCGCATTCACAGAGTTTCGCCAACGTCAGTCCATGTCCATGATGCTGTCGTATTTACCTTTGGCCAATTCTCAACCTGTCCATTCGTAAGTGATCTCAATCCAGGATTTTCTGCACATTCTTCGAAACATGTGGAGTTTGGAATTGTTCCACATGGACGGCGGAATAGGTGGCCACGATCTCTTTTTTCAACAAGGAACAATGTTTAGCCATAAGCCATTTGCCATGTGAATGAAGTGCAGCATTCACTGAATTTGGATGAATAAAGTTTTATCTAGGTGTTAAAAAGATAACCGGCATTTCAATAAGGTTGTCTCGAAGATATTTTAGAGTTCACCTTTGTTTCTTTAATCATCAGCGAAATTGAGCATACGCAACATGCTAAAATCTTTTATGCATTAGTAAAGTCGCTGAAAAACGCTTTATAAGATTTTTAAAAGTATGAACACCTCTACGAGTGCAGCATTATGCCAACCGTTTAATAAGACCTTATTTAATTGCAAAAAAATCGCTATGTTTTACATGTAAATCCAAATTCACCTTTATAACCCATATTACTAGAACAGTAGATTTGTGGGCTATCTGCGCAATTGCTTCACTAACAATCTTGTTCAACTGCATAGCAGTTTAACTGTAATTCAAAAGTGAAGTCAGCGCGTTTAGTGCCAAAAGTTTTCTACCAAACTACCATTTCTTTGCTGGGAGTAACTTGCCTAAAAATTAACGGAATATCTTCATCGATTTCCATAAATAAGAAGAAATGTATATAATAGATGTAATTGGATTCAGTAGCTCAATTACTTCTCACCTTTAAATGGCAACGGCTGCACAATTCACTGCATTATTTTATCTGTATAACAATACGCCTACGCCTTTACAACGTATGAAAATCGTTCAACTGCAGTAGATAGCAAAGAAGGATGTTATACAGGAACTGAAAAGAATAATTAGTCGTTAGGTGATCCATCGTTAGTCGGATAGAATCAGCTGAAGATCGAGAAAGATAACAAAAGCGAAAAACAAAATAATTAGGTAGCAAAATGAATAAAGGGCAAAGTTTTGCCACAAATTCGACATTTTTCCATTGAGAACACAAAATAAGAATTAATTATCTTCTGCATTTCCCTAACCCTCAAACTGCTTCGCATCTTAAAACTTAAATATCACATTCTAATTAAGTTAATCTGCACCATCTACGCCGTACCGAACCCGATTAGACTCGCTGGCCATTATCAATGTTAAATCATGAAACAGTGACATTGAACCTTGTCACCAAAAATTAGAAAAAGTGCATCAACTTTTGTCAGTCCAAAAGGTTGTTCGTTACTTTAATGAGTCAGATTTTTCTGGGTTTCATTGTTTTAGATTCAACAGCAGTCATACACTCCTTGAATCAGCATCATCCTTGGTAAACAACAAGTGGAAGTTATTTAAATTCAACAAAGATTTGAAACTTTCAGCTAAATTCGATCGACGACTTTCCTTAAAAACGGTATAACGAATATACATCTGTTACTACAAAACTGCTACTGCCATTTGAAAAAAACGACATGGTCGAAATTATATCACTGCAGGACAAGGAATAACTTATCCAAGTGGATTTCACGGCATATGGCAAAAAGATGCACGATGAATCTGAAATTGTAGATACTTAAATGCCAGGAACCGTAACTTGCTAACATGGCTTCTTAGGCAACTAAGAACGAGGGAGCGGTGCGATGCGTCACGAAATCTTATCCTGTAAGAGTCGTTCGTTATTTGACATACTCGGGAGTAGTAACATCCTATGACGTTGATGTATAAAAACATTTTATTAACCATAGAGCACACAGTAATCATCATAGGAAGTCGGGTATGGTTTCAACTAATAAACGTACTGTCTACATCGATAACGGAGGACAAATGACAGTTGCCCTGCAAATGACAACCGCATGTTTTGGCTTTTGGTCTGGATTTACCATATTCCTTAGCGCCCCAATGCACAGCTGTGGAAACTAAGGTGTTAAATTATTTGATTGAAAAGAGATGGCGGGTTGAGTCGAAACCTGCTCCCATATTTTGTGATCAGTGCAATTTGTTAGATAGGACGTTTTTCTGCATTGAAACTACTGGCACTTACAGAAAAAGACTCTACCATTCATCAGCATAGCATTAATCATATTGTTAGCGATGTTTGTCTAATGAAAATTATTAAGGCAGTAGTTTAGTTAAAATGCCGTCAAACTTTAAATCTGATACAAGTTCCTTTGTAGGAAGCAGTGTTGCACTCTGTTGTATAAACTTACTTTTAAGTGCAATTATATCTGAAGTCATTATATCCCAGACGTGCCTATCTGCATATCGATATTTTATTAGTTTTGTTGCATAATATCTTCGCCATTGCTGTAACCAGCAAAGACTCCCTTCCCAGAAACTAGAATCGACCTGGCGCGCCACACTTTTTCGCTTTTCGAAGCAAAATATTACAGATTATTAATTCTTAATATTTAGACATCGCGACAGAAAGTTTATTTTTGAGCGAATTTGATTAACTTCATTATACTGAATGGTAGTTTTACATTACAGAATGAAAATTGGTTCCTTGTTGGTCTACTGTAATTCAAAATAATTTTCGCTCCAAATTAGCAGGATAAGCAGTTCTTAAACTTAGATGAATAGAGATTAATTTGCAAAACATCATAGATGACTGTTTTTGATGGCAAAGACACGGGTAGAATTGAAGTTTGTTTGCTTTATTCAAGTTGCGGTTTACGCTACATGAGCATATCGCAATTACGATAATGTCAAATATTTGACGTGTACTTAAAGATATTATTAACACCGTACGTCAACATCGTACTATGTTGTGTGATGGATCTGACCGTTTTTTCACGGCAGCCGAGGTGGTGCTGTGTATGGGCATTTCTGATAACATGTACATTAGGTAAGACAAGGAATTACTATTGTCCTAATAAGCTGATACAGTAAATGTTTGTTTTGCTTCCTTTCAACGTTTCCCAACCGTTTTGACTTGCTGCATTTTATCATGAAGTTCATGAAGGTCTGCATGAGGGAGGAAGCTGTTGGTTGCTAGAAAGTAGCTACAGTCACAACAGTCGATGCTTAATGTCATAGCAGTAGACCTATTGGGACTTTTCAATTGTACTTGCAGATTTGCTGGGAAACGAAGCTGGTGCTTCCCTGGACAATCATTTGAAGCTGGCTAAGAAGTTTCTATCAAGTGGGCACTTAGCAGATGCTCTCGCCCAGTACCACGCTGCATTGGGTACGTACTGTGTTCGTCATTGCGGTTGCATGTACTGTCGTCAGTTTTCAGATCTGGATTCGAACAGTTACTTGTCACTGTTTGGTCGAGCAACCGTCTATCAGGCTATGGGTAAGCCGAATGCAGCATTGTCTGATTTGGACAAGGTTGTGAAATTAAAGCCCGATTTTTCGGCGGTATGAATTTGCTGTCATATGGAGGCAACATAATTGTAAATGGCACCCGTAGGCGAAAGTGCAGCGCGCAGAATTGCTCATGAAGAGAGGGTTCCTTGACAGATCTGAGAAAGAGTTTAAAGAATTGGTACTGCGTTTGTTTGCTCGCATTTAAGGATACGATTATTCGCATGTGTGGTTTAGATTTCGAAGGGCGTACAAGCGGAAGTGGCCGCCAACAAACTAGCTTTATTGCACTCCGTACGCCAGAATGTTGTCGACGCTGACTCCTTCTTGAACAAAGGTGATTATGAATCCGCCGAAAAGATGTACTCCAAGATTCTTGAAGTATGCATTGTCTTCCTGTTTTAACAATTACCTGTTTTCATGCCCCGTCGTGCATTGTGCAGTCTCCGCATATTCGTAACTAGTTGCAACTTTAAGATTTATTTGGCAGGTTTCTACATTCCCAGTGGATCTTTAAACTTTTAAGCGGTAAGCCTACATAAGACTGTATGTTTGTGCGTAAATGGTTAAGCGCTTAAGAAATAAAGTTAATAAAGAATGCAAATTGCATTAGGGTTGATAGGAGTAAAAGAGATAATTTGACCTTCTGGTTGTTAGTGTGTTGCAAATCGTACCTTAAATTGGATCCACAAGACCAAAAATTTTGGTTTTCATATGATTAGCATGAACCGTGATAAGTTTTTAACTGTTAATGTAGTGATGTACGGCTAGCAAAGTTTGAACAGCCGAGTATGCCAGATTTGTCATGCCCGTTCGATAAACTCTTATTCCTTGCTTTTTGTCTTAGTATGCCTAGTGTGTTATTGTTACGGTATATCTTGTAAGGGGGTCATTTTAGATCCTAAGCAGCTCATAAGATTTCAGCATTGGACTATCAGTCATTCAGTAATTCATTTTCTTTTTCCACTAATCCTTGTAATGATAAAGCAGCATCAGATGCCTCTTCTAGTTATTCTTTTATGCCGTCTCGGGCTCTCCAGAGGTTGGATTTCAAGATGCTTCGTACAGAGTGTTCAGTGTACTTTAGACGGTTGTTTTTTGGTCTGCTCCTGAGCTGTTTGCCATGTAGCTTTGGGAAGGAAGTCAGTCTTCACATATGATGTCAGTTTGTCCTGAGTCAGTATGACATAGTTGAATTCTCCATACACATCTGATTATCCCGATTATGACACAGTCTTTCTGGTGGTCACGAGAAAATTCGTCTTGCTGTTAAAGTCTTGTGGTTTGGGAAACCTGTATTCGACGATTTCACGCGCATCAATTCTCCAACTCTGACGCGTTGATGAGGTAACATCTGTGCAGAAAGTCCTTTATCCTACGTCATGATCATTACTGTTAATCGATAGTCTCCCAATCTATTCAGTTGAAAGCAGCTAGTGCTTAGAGGCATAAAAAGCGAAACAGAATCATGGCTAGGTAAGATGAAGCGTTGATGAGGCCAAAATGTACGAACTGGACATAAATGTACTCTCGTCAAAGAAACGCCAGGGTTCTAGAGATCTGAATGGAAGGGCGAGAGCTTTCTTACTCAGGCGTCTACTCTACAAACAGCGTTCGTACCGGATTTGGTGTTCTTCTAGAACCCTGGTTGGTAGAGTAATTAGTGGAAGCTTGCAGCAGAAGAGTGGCATTCCTCCGACTTGAGAAGATAAGGGAAGGAAAATGTCGATTATCCAATTGGGATGGCCAGCGTCGTTCTTCGTGGATTATCTCGAACCGTTGTGACTAAGGCTGAGTCTGAACACTAAGTTGTTTGTGTTCAGGTCGATTTTCGTCGCACTGTTAACGTATAGTCTGGATTTGTGAACATTCACTGAAAAACTGCGATCCGAGGTGCGAGCTGTTGAAATGGGATTTCTGAGGCGAATCGTTTGACTTGCGTGTCTCGACATTGTCCACATTTGAGTTACTCGAAAGAGCTTTGGTGTGGATCCACTGCTTCTCCAAATGGAGAAGTCACTGCTGCGATGGTTTAGGCACGCCTTGTAAATGCTTTCAATAAGGAAGGCGAACCATATAGTACTTGTTAGGCCGACCGTTCGATGACTATGGGAATGGCTAAAGTGACATGGTGCAAGTACCTCGACGTACCCTGCCATGGACTTCGGTTGTCTTCTGCCAAAACTAAGATGCTGGCGCAGGATCGAGAACGTTGGAGAAGACATTGTCTGACTCTGTTGCCTCTAGGACCAGAAAAGATTAACGGCGATTGAAACTAACGGAATGACGTTGTAGATTTTTGGTTTATCGATTGATAAATCCTCTTACATTTCGGTCTGTATTTTCAGAAGGTGGTTCAAGTTTGGTATTTGTTTTTATGTGCAGCATGGAAGGGCTCGTTCTCTAAGGGTTATATTGCATACAGCTATAGCTGTTTTTGCGGTATGTGTCTAAACGTTAGTGTCACTTAACCTCTGATCTGCTTTTTCTTGACACTGTGCACCTCAGATTTAATCATATTTTGCGAAGTGCCTTTCTTGGTGAATTTGCAACGTGATTTGACGTTTTCTGGTAATCCATTGCGCTAGTTCAGTACCAGTTATCGTCCATTTTTCATACATACATTTGGCACTATTATTTGTTGCGTTATTTTGAAAAGTTTCGCTCTGGTAAGTGTGAGACCTGCTCAAGGTTATTCTAAATAAGTGTGAAGTTGTAACTGAATTTTGAAAAAAAGTCCTGTAGTTCTTCGTTGACGAAGTTTGGCGTTCAGATATTCGCTTGCATTAATAGGTCGGCGACTGCGGCTGTATGTACGATTTCAGGTTTGCATATGGAATGCAGAAGCCCGTATGAAGCGCGCCCAGTGTTACGAAAACATGGGCGATTTATCAAGGGCTGTTGCAGACATCAGATCATCGGTGAAATTCTTGGGTGATAGCGGAAATATCTATCTTAAGCTATCCGACTTATATTATTTAATGGGTGATGTGCAGGAAGCTCGGAAGTAAGCAAAACGATATTTTCACGGCGATGTGATCTTTTTATTTTAAGCCAAATTCATGAGTTTCTGAAGCTGGACCCGGATAATAAGGCCAGTCATACGCGGTACAAAAAGTTGAAGGAAGTTCTCAAACTTGTAAAGGAGATTGAGGGTGACATTGACGGTCAAAGGTGGCAAAACTGTGTGAATGCGGCCAAGAAATTGTTGCAGGTTGAAACGTCCGTTCTGGCAGTGATCATGATTGGCAAAACGCAGCTGTGCAAATGTAGCAGTCAGGTACAAGTAGGGTTTCCACTCTGCAGTTACATGCTATGTTTTTCAGGCTGAAATGACGGCAGATGCCATCAAAATATGTACTGAAACTCTGGACGTAAATCCTCGCCTGTTGAATACTCTTTGTGACAGGGCCGAAGCGTACATTCAAAATGGTCAATACGACAAAGGTGTGGTTTAGTAAAGGATTGCAGACTGTGTATAGGACGCTGCCTCGTACAGCGAACTTCTGTTTCATTAAAGGAATGCGCTATGAAGGCGAAAACTACTGACACTTGAAATTCGACATTTCGGCATAACTGACCCTTTGAATCTCAAGAAGTTATGATTCATCTGCCCTGCAGAGTTTAAGAAGTAAAGACTTTCTGATAGTATATTTCAGTTTACTTAGTTTCCACGATTGGTAACATTTGTGGCACGGAATTTTTCTAGCCTATGAATGTTTATTTCCCTTTCAGAGGGCAGACTGTTTGGTAAAATGCTTTTTTCATACGATAATTCGGAC